GCAGGTCGGATCACAGCTGACCCGTCTCACCCTGGACACAGTCTCTTCAACTCGCTCCCATCTGGCAGGAGGCTCCGATCCATTTGGACCAGAACCTCTCACCACTAAAACAGTTTCTTTCCCTCTGCGGTCGGACTCATGAACGACAATCATAGACCTGCACACTCCAACTGCTGTGTTTCAGTCACATGACCCTAGTGTTGTGTATGCATCTGAACTGATCCGCTCTGACCAGTACCTACACTGACTTGAATAAAGTAGCTGTTTATCTAATTATTGATTTCCTTTCCCTATATTATTATCATTTCATTGTGTTTATTTCTTAATTTTGCTTATCATTTATTTTTTCTTGCACTAAGTACCGCAGCAATTTCCTAATGTTGTGATTCTCACATGTATAGCAATAAAAACCTTCTGGTTCTGATTCTGATTAGTGTCTAGAGAGGTGATTCATCACTAAATTAAACTAATCAGCTTTGTTCATGATTTAAAACATACAGGGAAGGTAATTCCATCTTTTAGTTCTTTTTAAAACACAGAAAGGTTTTATAAAACTTTCTGTGTTTTAAAAATAACTAAAATATGGAATTAGAATTTCAACACAGCAAGAACACACCAAAGATGCAGGGAAGGTGCTGGAGCCAGACTGCAGTGCCAGGTATATAAGCTCAATTGTTTCCAAAGTCCAACAGACTGGACAGGCAACTGTGAGGTTGCAAACCCTAACCCTAATCCTGTAAATTGACATTTAGGGTTAGGGTTGGGATTAGGGCTCAAGAAACTGATTACAAAGTATCTCTTAAAAGGTGCAGAAGAGCAACACACAAAGATGGAGAAAAGCTTTTTGACCATAGCAGCATATTGACTGAGGTTTTCCAAATCCAGTAATTTTCTAATAGATCCTAGGGTTGTGGAGAGCATATTGCAGGCTTTTCATAATGAGTGAATTAGGCTTAAATGAAGGTTTCAGTTGAATTCAATTCCTATTGAAACTTTGTTGTCTCTACTCCAGAAACTGTAGGAAAGGATGCAAAGATAAAATGGTAGATAGAAATAAAGTGTGACGCCTGCATGTGTTCAAAGTCTCCTAGAGTGAGACAACAATGTGGATTATGGAGAAAGCAGAAGCTGGAGCTTTCAGTTGAGTCAAGTTTAAAGGGGCATTATGGAAGTTTGACAGCCAAAACATGTATAGAAATTATAAATTTCTTCTTCACACATTCTCCTGCAATGCCCTGGTCCTGTAGAATGAGCCCTGGCATTTTTACTGTGATTGCCTGTTTTTCTGTAAAATCACAGAAAAAGAGAGCTGCTCGGGTCGAGCAGGCTGCTTCATGCGCGTTCACGCTCAGGCATAGCCCATAGCATTTGCTATCAGTAGCTTTAGCAGCAGAGAGAGAGGTAGTGCCAACTCAGCGACTTTGTCGCTGTTCCTAATGCCTAGTGATGAACCTAGCTACATTTCTAAGGACCCTTAGCTACTTTCTGTAGAACTTTCTTCTAGATATTTCCTGCAAATTAGCAACAAAATAGCCATTTTCGCTAAGAACCGTTCTTTGGTTTGACGTTGTTTCAGGTGTTATCAAGGATATAAAAGTTACAGATGTTATGAATGATACTGGTGTGTAGCTCACCTTGTAAGATGTCTGACTCTCATGTAGAAGACCTGGTTTCAATTCTGGATGTGAACATAGTTTATGTAGAGTTTCTTTTTTACATTAATGGTATATTTTTTACAGTAAGATGCCCAAATTTTTATTTGAGACTCGCCGAACGGCATTGAATTCACAGATAAAAAAGATGTGGGTTCTACTTTCATTTTGAAACAATTTTTCAAGCAAGAGAAGGGAATGATCTGAGCATGCAGGAGGACTGACCCATCTTAAACCTTTGTCGGCTGTGCTGAAGAGAAAGGTACAGAACCAAATTATTTAATTAATTAGCTGCGCGTTCTCCTGTCCTCTGTCCTCCAGGCCACACACACACGTGCGCGCGCACACACACACACACACACACACACAAGGGACTGTCTCAGCTGTTATTTTCGTCAAGGAGTGTGCACATACAGCATGCACGCCTCGTGCACGAGCCTACTATTGAAGCTGCCGTTACGCTTTTGGCCTGAGGGGGCAATCGTGAGCATAAAAATTCAAAAGTCCACAAAGTCCCTTTAATAAGTGCAAAATCGTAACATGTGCATCGAGACATTAGTGTGTAGTTTTTATGATTTCGCACCCATTCAGACTTGAGTCACCTGAGTGCTCCAGCGCGTCTGGATCCTTCATTCTATTGTCCTCCAGCTGTTCGAGCATTGGTGCAGTAGCTGACACACAAAGAACTATTTATAAATGTCCATTATAGCTTTTATTAGGCAACGTTCAAAAGAAACAGCAACATTAAAAAAGGGATTTTTGGCTGGATGGTAGAGAAGATAGACAACAAGACGTGTAACTTTGTAAAATATTGGTAACTTTTTGAAGATTGCTACTGCAGATCGGCCAAGTTACATTTGTTTCTTAACTATAATTTGTGTTGAGGATTTTATATGTTTTTGAGGCAATATTTTTCTGTAACAGGAGCAAACCATCAGAAATAACTACTCATCAAATGCTAAACTTTCTATGTTTATCTCACAAAGGTTGCTTGATGCAGGTTGATGCAACGTTTTTCTTCTAGTGATTTCATTAAGTGTTCAAAGCTTTGCTCTTTTGACTCACCCTGCTTTCTTCAGAGGAAAGTTTGATTTAGAAAAGGCTGCAGATGACTGATTAAACTTCCTTGTTTCTCAAACTTCTGTAAACAAAATGTCACATGATTTGTATCAATGTTACTTCACTGTTTTCATTTCTAACCCTGTTTAGCTTATATAACTGCCTTCCAACCAAACAGTCAATGATAGAAGAGCGAAAACTTTGGCTCATCAGTTAAACCGTTTCTTTGATTCAAATACAGGAAAGTGTCTTTTTCTCTTTCCATCCAGGTTTACAGTAAGTGACACGGAAAGCTCAGACTGTTTACTGAGTGCAACCAGTGCAGCTACAATGCAAGATGCTCACTTTAACAACGCAGATGAGATTGACAAGGGCACTTCTACAATCTCAAAATGGCAACCTTGCAATGGGTTGAGGACCAAAATACAAATAAATTGACACAAACTGCAACATAATTGAGGTCATATTACATAAAAGGATGTTCTCCTTGTGTCATGAATAAAATTTATTGCTAAATGTTACAGTGATTGTGATTAAAGGTTAAAAGTTGCACACAGATTTGAGTCTTTATCTAATCACCAACAGTCAGTGTGCAGAAACTGGTCTAAGAGGAAAATGCACAATTAAAAAAAGACTAATTATAAAAATAACTAAAGAAAAGTTTGAGCAAACTTTGCATTTGGACAACCCAATAGTGGTAATCAGATGATCTTTTTAGCATAAATTATTATTTGCAGGATCATTGGAGACTCATACAATTTAATTAATTTAATGTTCAAGTAAGTCTTCACACACACACACACACACACACACACACACACACACACACACACACACACACACACACACACACAAACTTTTCTTTTCCAGCTCAGTGCATTCTCCTTCTCCTGCTGGTGAGTGACTGATGATCAGGCTGATTGATGAGTTATTATATGTGAAAATTTGTTGAAGGTGGACATTAAAAAAACGAAGCAGAACTGGGAATAAATCCAAAAAACTGTCTCTTCCTCCTCCCGTGATGGGGCCTCATTAACTGTGTCCGTGGAGGGATGGAGGTGGGAACGCTGGGATGCAGGATGGATGGACGGCTTATTAAGGAGGGCGGATGAGGTATTACTTTAAAAGTTTCTCACCACCCCCGTCAGAAGGGACAGGCAGCCGAGAGCTTTTCCAGAGGATGGGAAAGCTGGAGGCTGGGCTCATTCTGGGAAGGAATTTGGAGCAGAGGCTCAACGTGCCTAAATCCTTCATTCATTTTTATAGAACTTTAAGTAGAGTTGGGATGTTTATTCTTTCAGGTTTTTCTCTCGGGAGTCAAACTTATTTTAAAGGCTAGCATTTACAGTGGATGTGTTAACCTTATTAAAGGTCACTAGAAAGAAATAAAAGTCTAAAATATCAGCCTTTTCCCCACTGATGGTGTTTATATATTATGGATAAGGATTACTTTGATTTGGTTTTCTTTGTAGACCACAGGCCTGATAATCAAAACTATTTTCCTTTAAATTTCTATCATCTGTGAAAAAAGCTTTTTTGTTTTTTGACTCCATGAGGACACATTCTGACCATTTTCTATTTGCTTTACTCCACTAGTCAAAAGAAACTTTATTCAGTCACGCCTCAAACTGACAACGTACAAGCTTTGGTATCCTCTAAATTACACGGATATGCTCTGATGTCAAAATGGGCACTTTCCTGTGCAGAATTACGTCTACATGTTCAGGTTGTTTACCTTTGTGCCCGTCTTTAATTTGCAAACTTTCAAAAATGATACATAAGCAGAGTTTTGTTTGTGTGTGTGTGTGTGTGTGTGTGTGTGTGTGTGCGTGCGTGCGTGCGTGCGTGCGTGTGTGTGTGTGTGTGTGTGTGTGTGTGTGTGTGTGTGTGTGTGTGTGTGTGTGTGTGTGTGTGTGTGTGTGTAAAGTTGCTGTGCGGTGGGACAATTACTCAGTCTGGGGATGAATGAGGTCTGTGGCTTAAGTTTTTGTGTGTGTGTGTGTTTGTACTCGAGTGGTCTGAAAGAGGGAGCGGAGGGGACAGGGAGGAGGAGCAGAGGGACGTAGATGAGTGATTCTCCAGATGAGATCTAATATGTGAGACGATGCATCCTAAAGAGACGTTTTCTCATGGGCTTACCTCATGAATACAAATTCAGCCCCGCCGCCCGCTCTATGCGGGAAGGACAAATGCACCTTGCTTCAACCCGTTTTTTACTTCAACGTCTTACTTCCATCCAATCACAAATCTCGCTTTTGGTGACTTCATGGCAGAACTTATGAGTCATCCATTCATACCTCGGATTTGTGACTGAGTCTCGTTGCTCTTACGGGTATTTATAATGACAGGGCGACTGTCTGGGAGCATGTCGGCCAAAAACCCAAATGAAACGCAGCAGGTGAGTTTATTAACGAAGGAAACTATCAATCTGCTTGTGTTTGCTGACCTCCAGGGTCATCTGAACCAGAATGTGTGCAGGTTAAAACTGGGAAATCAGTTTAGTTTAGACATCTGTGTAAATCATGGAGCTAAATGTTTGTAAATGTAGTGACATCACTGTTTTATAGAATCTGAGTTGGTAAAGGCAGTCAGAGTTGGACACAGTTTATCAGCTGTGTACAGGCTATAAGGAAGAAATGTGTGTGTGGAGGTGTGTGTGCTAGAGAGAGAGAGAGAGAGAGAGAGAGAGAGAGAGAGAGAGAGAGAGAGAGAGAGAGAGAGAGAGAGAGAGAGAGGGAAAGGGGAGGAGATACAAAAGGGAGGAAGACAGTAGAGAGGAAAGGAGGGAAGCTTAGAGAGAAGGTTTAGGACCAGGAGGGAGCTGTTATCGATGACAGATACAGAACACGTTTTTCTTTTAAAGCTTCTAGGTGAAGTCGCTTGTTCCACAGAACCAGAGGTAGAAGTGTGGAGGAACCAGAAAGGGTGGCGCACACCAGCAGAGGTCAGGCAGGGGAAAGGGGATGTTTGTAAAGATTTGCTTATCTGACAGTGACAGCAGGATGAGAAGCTGAGCGAGAAAGCCAAGAAGAAACATGGAGCGAGTAGAGACTCATAGAAGGGACGTGCTCTGAGAGAATAAAAAATACACAGAGACATAAACTGTCCACTTTGTCCATTCTGTCCAAAGGAGCGACAGCACGAGGCAAGGGATCGTAACACTGGAGCTCAAGGATAAATCATGGACTCTGAATACATCCCACAACACCTGGACGTAAGTACTACCTCCTCCCTCTCTCTCTCTCTCTCAAACACACACACACACACACACATCTGCCTGTCAAGCTACTGGCCACAGGAACTCTGCTGCTGAAACCATTAGGTCCCTCAGGGGACAAACACACACTCTCATGCACATGCATACACAGCTTGCAAACTTTTTCACTCCATCAAAATCTCATTCAGCATAAGCAGCTCATCTGGGAATAACGTGCCCATTATGGGTTCAAAGAACACAACTCAGCACCGCTGCAGCGTGCTCGGCATGAGCCGGCCCTCAGTGTTAACACACATCGGGTTTAATGTGAAAAGCAGCGGCGTGTTTTTGTTCTGTATTTCACATCGGTTCAGCTGTCAGGCAGCAGTTTGTGGCTTCGGCATGTCAGTGTTTCCACTGAGGCTGGTGAAGAGCGGAGGCCTCGTTCTGTAAAACCACAATGCTCTGGTGGCGCTCAGACCTCCGAGCATCCCCGGCTCAGGGGGAGAGCCTCAGGGTGATGGAACATTTTGATGCTTGTAAGTTATGCGTACCTTTGTTGGATTTTCCCAGTTTTCTGTGTTATTTCCATGTGCATCATTCACAGCAGAGCACATCTGCATCTGTAGCTGCAGCACAGCCACTCATCAGTTCTGCTGCAGTTATAACTGCTGTCAAATCAAACTCCCAAATTCAATAGTTCCTACTTTAGTGCTTAAGAAAGCATGTAGAGAATCACTCGGTCATAATGTTCTGGTTACTTATACCCATCATAGCATGTAATCTCACTCTCAAACTAAGAGCTGCTGTAAGCAAGCAGCAGCAACAAAAACAAATGTTTCCTGAAGTGTTCCACAGGTGTGTATTCCTCAAGTGCGTATTACATTTTGGCTCACGAGGCTGATGGGATATTGTTCAAGCATTTGCTCAGAGCGTAAAAGTGAACCCGGTGGCATGTATGGTACATGTATCAAGTTCAGAAGTAAAAGGATGGCTGCACTGAAAAAGGAGAGCTTTGAGGAAGGAGAGGAAGAAGAAATCAGGGAGATTGAAAGAAGGAATTTGGGAAAAGAAACACGGGAAGAACAACAGGAAGGGAAAGTGAAGGGACCAGGCGGAACACGAAGACAGTGGCGGTGGATAAATCAGCTGGCTGTGGTGACACGAGCAACACCCAGCAACGGTCTTCCGTAAAAACACCATTCATTTAAGAGCTAGGAAAAGAAAATAAGCAGTGGTAAAGTGTTTTAGCGTCGATTCAGATGTAATCGATCTTTCTAACAAGGGGAACCTGAAGACAGGGATCCCCTCTGATGGTACTGTTAATTTAAAATAGCCGGTGGGGAAAAAATACATAGGTACGTCTGTATTGACAGCTCAAAACAACAGGACAAAGTTCAAGAAATGCAAAGAGGAAGAAGGAAGGGGAAGAGGAGCAGAGTTTGAAATAAACAGATAAAAGGCGAGGCGGACGTCGGAGTTCAGAGGTTTTAATCAGCGAGTTCAGAAATACACGGGGCAGAGCAGCAGGGTCGTGGTGCCGTCTGCTCCGGAGGTCAGGCCTCGGCCGAAACACGGACCCGAGGCGCACACACACACACAGCAGCTGAACTCCAAACCGTCAAACCTTTGTCTCGGCTTATCTGCGAGCCTCTAATTATTCAAATTCAGAAAGATAAAGATTATCCTCCAAATGTGACATGACCTCAGGGTCAGACCTGAGCCTTACTGGACAGGAAAAGAGCTAAAGGTGATATGAAACAGCAGAGCTCTTGGCTATCTGACAGCAGATTGGGTCACACCCTCAAAAGGTTTCCAAATCACTTTTGGTTTATTTTTGCCTTGTTTACCCAAGAACCAATCAGAACACAGTTAGAAGAGAGCATTTGTTTAAACTGGAACGTTTTTCTTTCTTATTCATCTGATTCTTTGCCTCACTCCTGCTCTGACACACCTTTCTGTGTGACAACTAAACCTTTGTACCGCAGAGTCACCTGTGTAGTTTTGCAGGTGAGGAAAGTACAGGAGAGTGGTGGTGTTGTTGTCCTTAATCTGCTTTACAAGCCTCCACAGTATATGGGAGGGGCTGCTCAGCGGCGTCTAATCTGTAATTGTCCTCCGCTGCGCTGCCTCAGGTGAAACAGGCCTGGGTGGAGCTGCAAGAGTTTAATGGATAGCTAGCAACAATCCCACGGTTGGAGGTGGCTCATTTTCCCAGCATGCCTGCCCTTTGAACCACGTCTCGTATGAGTAGCACACATTTGAACATGCATTAAAAATATGCGCGCCTTCACACCTGTGACCTCCTTTTGGCCCTGTTTCTGACAGTGCGGCAAGATTAGGAGTCATTACAGCCTTGTTATATGTTTACTCAGCCATAAACGCCACTGCTATCTCACTGCAGAGGCCCTAATTGATTCTTTGTCCCTTACATAGATGAGATAAAGAGATAGAGGCGAGAAAAAGAGAGATATATGAGCACTTGTGAAGGAAAGAGATTATAACAAACTTAAAGTGCTTCCACGGAGAGAAAATGATTACATTTTTTACATATTTGATTACAGACTATTTTTTTCTACAACCTTTTAATACTTTTAACCCTCTCAGGCTCTAAATAAGTTTTGATAAAAGGACGAACAACTAAGTCCTTCAGGGGTACTTCTGAGTTAAAAAATGCTCATGAAAGACGTATGTGGAGTAACCAGGTAGGTAGGTTTTAACGTTGCAAATCTGCAACGCCTGCCTCCAGAGGGTTAACTCGACCTCTTTGTGTCAAGGGAGCTGTTACCTTGCTGGCTTGTAATTACTCTCTCAGTTAAGAGCACCTTCTCAACAAAGATGCAGGGTGTTAGCCGGGTCAGGTGGGCGACCCTATTCAGGAGTTCCCGCAATGCAAAAAGCCACACAGGTCAGTCCTTGCTTTGAGTTCGGTGAAAAAGCCTAAAACCCCACCAAGAAAAGCTGAGCTTAACTGAACGTTAATGTGTCATCATTAGTATCCAAGTAAATAAATGTTTGTCTTTCTTTTTCTCTTCTTCTTTTATGATAAAGTTGGAAATAAAGTGAAGACTCAAATTGTGATTAAAGACGATTGAGAGAATATCACACAAAAAAGTCAAAGTTTACAAAAGCAAACACCAAAGGTTTAAGAGATCCTTCTACACGTGAACCAGAGTAGTGACATTGATATTCATCATTCATCAAAACATAGCAGGTTTTAGTTTTTTATCACAATTTGTCCCTGAAAAAATTCTTTACTGATCTACTAAAATTATTTCATTAAATAACTTCTAATACTGCAGCATCACTGGGATTCAAACTAAAGAAATCCATCCAATATTTGAAAGGTTTTTTTTTTGTTGTTGCTTCTGATTTATTTCCAAGGACAACAAAAGAGAACATTTTAGTTTTTAATGATAGACATATCTATGATGGCTTGATTAGTTAAAAGTAACTGAGTACTTGAGAATATCAAAGTTTTTGCACAATTTCACAGCAATTCATCTCTCTCTCTCTCTCTCTCTCTCTCTCTCTCTCTCTCTCTATATATATATATATATATATATATATATATATATATATGTGTGTGTGTGTGTGTGTGTGTGTGTGTGTGTGTGTGTGTGTGTGTGTGTGTGTGTGTGTGTGTATGTATGTATGTATGTATTGGTGTGTGTGTGTGTGTGTGTGTGTGTGTGTGAGAGAGAGAGAGAGAGAGAGAGAGAGAGAGATTTAAAGAGCAAGTCAACCCCTACCAGATTCTAACTCCACTCCCACTTCCTGTTTGAAAAATGCAACAAATGCTGTTGCCTGGCAGACCGAGAGGGCGGAGCTGCTAACAAATACACACACAGGCTCACGACAACATTGTGACATCATAATGTACCAGTTTACATCATAGCATACCTCTTAGCCAATAGCTGTGGTAGATTAAAATTAGAATACAGTGCAGAGTTTTTACCTGACAACGGCACAACACTGCCAGTTTTAGGCAGAATATTTAAATTTTAACTAAGATGCACTGAAGTGCCAAATTATTGACGACACATGTCTGCAGCACGATTAGACACTCGTTTATTTAGTTTATCAGCAAAAAAAAAAGTTTATTTGGGGGTGACTTGCTCTTTAAATACAAATATAGACATAGATATAAATATAGAAATAGATATAGATATACATGTCATTCTCTGTAAAAAGCTGTCACCGTCCACATTGTTTTGGGAACAAATTTTATTCAGGCAGAATGATCCTGCCAACCGGTGAACAACAATGTGACCGTCATACATTTCAGAGCATTTTATTTCAAGTACATTTAAATTTGATTCTCTTTTTCTACATAGAAATCCAAACCTGAACCTTTACTACATCTTGTCTAAGATTTGTTCCTATGACTAGATCTAAGACACATCATATCACATTTATTTCTTACATCTGTTTGAAGCTTGGGAAATATCTTTTTCTTTCCCTCACCATGCCAAAGTTATGGAAAGCTACTGACCGCTTTAATATCTGAATCCTCTGGTGATTTAAAAGGAAAAGAGAAAAAAAATCAGGCAATCTGTCATTGTGGCAGCTTCTCACAACCCTAAAACACACCACCTGAGTAAACAACACCTGATTGATGCTACAAGTTTTAATAACTCCGAGCCATTTAAAACGCAAATACACAACATGATTAAATGACAGCTAGAAGCTGCTTAATTGTTCCTGCCGAGGTGTCCTGTGAGATATATGGGCCATACGGGCATTAAGCTCACCATAAATTAGCCCAGTAAAAACAACGGCAGCCTGGAGTAACAAGCAAACAACTTTGTGAGGATAAGTCGACTGTAAATTTCTTGAACATATGCCACATGAAGGCAAAAGACTAATGAGAAACTGGTGTGTCCAGGAAGGAGAAGACATGAGAAGCATGATATACACAGAACTGCGACTTCATGTCTTTTGCAGATTTCTCTGCAAACACTTTAATTTGTGTTTCATAATATGATTTACAATCTTCAAACATAAATTTTGTATAAAAGCTGAAGGAAAGAATAATTTTTTGCAGATTTATGCTTTGATTTTCCCAGATTGTACAATCCTCTTCTCCTGCCTGTGCTCCTCCAGGTCCACCATGCTCCCTGCTAACCTCCTGCTCCTCATGGTCTTGCTGCTACCTCAAGCCTCGTCTGGTGGCCAGGGTGGAGACACCAGCGAGACTGGTCATGGCAGGGCGTCCCCTTCACCTAATTCCCCATCACCCACCTCGGCTCTCCCTGATCCTGGTCTGGCTCAGGCCATACAGAGTCTCCTCCTGAGCCGACTGGGCCTACAGTCTCAGCCTAACCCACGACCCGGAGTGTCAGTGCCACAGTACCTCCTTGATCTTTACCGCTTCCATCAGCAGCAGTACCATCTGGTAGAAGACCCTTTGTTCCGCTTCCCCAGCCAGCACATTGAGCAGGCCAACACAGTACGCAGCTTTCACCACCATGGTGAGATCACTGATGTTTCATGATGCTCACTACTACAGATCTCCATAGAAACATGTTTCACTTCTTGTAAGGATTTTCAGTCAGATTCCTGTAGTATCATCTCCTTGGGATGTCTGTTCTGTTTGATAAAAACAAAGAACTTATTTAAGTTTCTGATGTAGATTTCGTTTCTTTCCTTTTTGCCGAGTTTTATTGAAAATGCAGAACTACTGTGTGTAGCTTCATCTGGAGAAATGAGCCATGACTTAACATTTTGTTTTATGCTTTTGCGCCTTTTGTCTCCTATAATTCTGCCTCAACTTACCTTTAACGTGCTTTCCTCAACATTTATTAAATAAACCACATCTGGCAGGAAATGTAATGACGCAAAATGTAAAAGATGAAGTTCACAAAAAAAACATAAAATTCATTTGAGCTATTTCTTTTTGCAACATTTCTTGAAACCTGTTGGATAGTTAATATGCTGTTTTACATCACAAACATACAGAATGTATCCATGGGAACCATATTTTTTACATTTCAAAATTAACATTGCTGCTTGTGTGCTTTTAGTTATTATAATGATTTTTAAAGCAGTGAAATATTTCTAAAATTAGCATATTTTGTAAGCTACATCATGCAGAAATTTTTTCTTCTTCGTTTACTGAATTTGCTCTGTTTTCCTCTAAATCCACATCATACTTTGTAAGTAAGTAAAGAGTTTTTATATAGTTAATATCGCAAAAAAAATCACAAAATCCTTCACATTGATCAACAAAACAAAAAAATCATAAAGTAAAAAAAATCAAAAATAATAAAACAAATTAAAGATTATTAAAAACAGAAAAAGTGAAGGAAACACAAAAGATTGAAGTGAAAGCAGTTTTAAATAAAAGAGTCTTAAGCTGCTTTTTAAAGGTGACCAAACTGTCAGTACGTAAGAATAAAGGAAGTTTATTCCAAAGCCTGGAAGGAGCAATCACCTCAACTTTTATATCTGGTCTTTGGAACTTCTAGAAGGTTCCACTTTGCAGACCTGAGGCCTCGGGTTGGATCATAAGATTTTAACAGATTAGTAATATAAGGAGGAGCTTGACCAAGAAGTCAGGATTCTAAAATGATCTCTAAAGTTAATGGGTAACCAGTGCAGAGACATCAGAATAGGAGTGATGTGAGCTCTTCTGTTTGCTGCAGAGTTCTGGACCAACTGGAGGTGGTCAAGCACACAAACATGTGAAAAGTGTGTAACATAAAGGCATGGACAGTATCCATAATAATAATTTCTAATAATAAATAATTCATTTAAATCTCAGTCAGTGTGAACAAATAATTGGTTTAATCTCATTTAATCTCAAATTCTATATAACGGTGATAACTGCTGATCAAGTCTTTTTGTTATGTTAAAAAGTTAAAAAGAAAAAAAGGAAACATTTCATGAAAGCCTATATTTTTGAGTAACAAGGGGCTTTAGGTTGATGTTGATTTTATTAAAATAGTTTAACACATTTCCTGCTCTTGACATCCAAAAAACAAGCTTGCGGTTGACAAACCTCACTGAACATCTGTGTTCTCTCTTCTTTTCAGAGCCTCTTGGAGACCATGGCAAAACAAACGATCGCACAAGAGTGCACATTTCCTTCAACATCTCCTCCATACCTCAGGATGAGTTGCTGCTCTCGGCTGAGCTTCGGCTCCTCCGCGGAGTTAGAGCCTCCCTGGCTCAAGGACCTTACAGATTAAACCTTTACCTCTCCAAGCACCACAAGGATCCTGAGCCCACTCTGCTAGAGACTAGGTTACTTAACAATGTCCTCCTTAGTCATCAACCTAATGGTTTCTGGGAGGTATTTCGTCTAGATGCTGAGGTCCTCCGTAAGGCCAGTGCTGGGACTGGTAGTTTGGGCTTCCTCCTGGAGAACAGGCCTGAAAACAGCACCACCTCGCTTCCTGACCAGAGCTCCTCTGCTGCAGGAGAAGACGAGGCAGAGAAACACAAAGAGAGACACCTGAGGGTGTGCAGATCTGTGGGTCAGGATGATCACAGCTGGGCCCAGGAGAGACCCCTCTTAGTGACTTACAGTCATGACGGCCATGGAGCGCCTCTAGTCAAACACATCAGGAGAACGGCTGGTAATGGGCAATGGGTAAGAGGTAGAAAAGGGTCAAATGGGAAGTCCAAGAACAGCAGCAAGAGCCGCAAGAAAGACCAAGGCTGGGGCCGGGCTAAAAAAGGGGGGTATTCTGTGCAGGACAGGGATGGTGACAAAGGAGGGGTCAACTGGAGCGATCGAGGAAGGGTGAAGAGAAACGGCGGTCATTCAGCTAAACTGAAGCGGCTTTCTCGTGGAAGATGTCGTCGCCATCCTTTGTATGTCGATTTTAATGATGTGGGGTGGCACAAGTGGATCATCGCACCCAGCGGCTACGACGCCTTCTTCTGCCTGGGAGAGTGCCGATACCCTCTGGCTGACCACATGAATGCCTCGAGCCACGCTGTAGTTCAAACTATGGTGAACTCTGTGAATGGAGCGGTGCCCAGGGCCTGCTGCGTCCCCACCTCCCTCAGCCCCATCGCTCTGCTCTACCTGGACCATCAGGACCGGGTCGTACTGAAGAATTATCAGGACATGGTGGTGGAGAGTTGTGGATGCTGGTAGAAGGTTGAAACACCTCTGACAGAGTAAGACTCCACCGCTCATCAAGTGGCGTCATTAACAGGAAGGATGAAAGTGCAGACGAGGGGAGGAAGAACCTAAGAATAAAAAAAAGACAGAGAGAGAAGCAGAATTGGAAAAATGAGTGTAGACGAGGAGGATGAAGGCTGAAGCAGCTAATTAATCATCATCAGGAGCAAGAGGTCAGACAACAGCAGAAACACATGACAGGGGTGAGGAAGAAATCACAGCAGACATGCCTTCCAGAAGTTAATAAACTGCCAGGATTTATTGTTTTTCTCCATTTGTCGACACTTCAGCTGTTTACATCATCCACTGACCTCCTATCATCACATGTGAAACCAGTACTTTGTGACAGTTCTGTGAAGATTTTATGAACAATTGTTACCTTGCATGTTGCGGACAGCTTTTTGAATAATTTCATTTGGGAAGACTTTTGTTTAATTCTGACTACACTGCAAAAAATGGTTTCTAAGAAAGCAAAAAAAATAATAATTCCGTTTTAGACATTTTATCTTATTTTTAGTCTAAAAAGAACTCTTTAAAAAAAGTATTTTAGATTTATTAGCTAGTTTTAAGAATTCTAGCTAAGTTACCACTACTTCACAGTGGAAACATCAGCGTTGCGGAATGGCAGGGGAACGGGTTCTGCTGCGTGCCGGTACACATCAGAACAGTCTCAGCTGCAAAGTGGCTTCTCTGCCATGTTACTCGCTTAACTCGCAAGATCACAAGATCCCTCTAGACTTTAAAGGTTACAGTTTGTTTATGCCATCCGCCATTAAACCAAAAACAAGAAAATCACGTTTTATATCGCTGTTTGATGTCATTTATGATGTTGTTTCTCTCCACTGCCAGGATTAAAACATGGAACCACACCGCTGCATTTCTCAAAAGATGCAGGGAGTTAATAAGCCATGAGGTTACACCTATAGACAAAACCTACATAGATATGAAATCACTTAGCTGCAATCGACTTTTATTTTGAAAATTACCAAACGTTTTGCACTGAAACTGTTTGTGATTTCCTGTCTAGCTGTATGTTAACTGCAGAAATTGACATATCCCAGAAGTGGCTCATGGCAAAAATAGAACCCAATCCTATCTTTAGCGGCTCTACGCTTCTGAAACGCGCCAGAAATTTTCCGCATCACGGCTGGTTTGAGTCCCTCCCATAGACTCCCCCATGGGCAGCAGTACCTTAGGAGGTAGAGCAGGTTGTCCAGTATTCGGAAGGTTGTAGGTTTGATCCCAGCTCCTGACAGAGCTTTCTGCTGTTGTGTCCTTGGGCAAGACACTTAACCCACCTTGCCAGCTGGTGGTGATCGGAGGGACCGGTGACGCCTGTGTTCGGCAGCCTTGCTTCTATCAATGTTCCCCAGGGCAGCTGTGGCAACATTGTAGCTCATCACCATCAGTGTGTGAATGTGTGTGTGTGTGATAGGGCTGCAACAGGCTATCATTTGGATCATTGATGAATCAGATCGGGTCTCGACTCGATTAATCGATTGATCGGGTTAAACGGGAAAATTAAATAACTTCTATAGAAACATTTTTCTCTCCTTCCTTTACTTTATTTAACAACAAACCATGATTTAACAGTTTAATAGCATACAAAACAACACGCTATCACCTAAATATATCCAGAATTAAACTATGATCAGTAAAATTTAATGTATTTCATAATATGTTCAGTTTTAAGCTACTGGAAATGCTAGTAGCATTTAATTTCTACTGCAAAAGTTTAATGGTGACATATTTATTATGTACGGGCTAGCAATAATCCAGTTTATATTATGTTCAGAGATAGACGTGTTTGTGAATTACACGCTACAGTGGCTTGCCACAATTCTGCTGTGGTGTTTAGCAGAGCAGACTCGAACCTGAGTTCAGCGGTTCTGCTCCATAGCGCTGCAGTCAGCTCAGAACAAACAGAATGGTGAGGACTTTTCTTCCGCTTGTAGAGTTTAGATGTTCTAAGTTTCACGACCATCATGTTTTTTTGGAACCCCTCTTGATGTGAGCCTGCTACCCGCTAGCATTTGCTAATCTGCTGGTAGTTGCACTTTTGATCCCAAACTGTTTCTGCCTTTGTGTCTTTGCTGGTTTCTGCTTTCCTCCACACCACCTAGATTAGCTCATTGTGCGTCAGTAAGCAACTTATGGTTCTAAGTGTGTCGTTTCTCATCAAAACATCGGCTTTCTCTCTTGTTCTGATCTGCCCCGGTCTGCTCTGTTGCTTCCTACACATGAGCTGCACAAATTGACTGTTAACTAAAGGTTGCACAATAAGAAAAAAGTTGCACAACAAAATTCATCTTTATGATTTGACTGATTCGTTGTTCCAGCCCTGGTGTGTGAATGGATGAATGATACATTGTTGTGTAAAACGCTATGGAGTCCTCCAACTCTGAAAGGCGCTAAACACGTGCGGGTCACTTATCATTTACAGTTTAGACTGTAATGGATTCTATTGGAAGTAGCGACGTTCCGCTGCCGTTCCGCGCCGCTGATGCTTCCAGTGTGAAGTAGGGGTTAATTTTGTTTACCCCAATGGCAGATTTTTTATTCGAAACAAGAAAACTTTAAAATATACACCTTGCTTTAAACAATACAATTTTTCTAAAGAAGCTTTATTTACCTAACTAAAAATAAAATTTTCTTAATTAAAAGTTTTTTTTGGGGGGGGGTTGCAGTTTAGTGAACAGCTGGGCTGGCAAAGATCAAAACAACTCTAATTTTAAAAGTACTCTTCTGCCAATGTTTTGCTATAAAACCCTTAAAATACCATCAGGTTTGCATTATATCGATATTTTAAATAGGATTATTTGTTTAGGTTTTTATTTTTATTATTATTATTTGCAAGAAGTGAATGGCTTCCCTTAAGGCACATTTGGCAGATTTGTTAAACTGATCAGAATTCAACTCCTATTTCTCCTAACTGAGGTCATTCAAAGGGTTATCTGCAGCAGGTAAGATATTAATTATTCAAAACCTTTCCACAGAACCACACTTAAAAATACTGGTTTAACATGAACTGAAGACAAACAATCCTGTTTGCAACTCATCAGTCTGTGGTAAAGTTATCAGCTATCTGCTTTGCTTCAAAAACAAAGAAATCACTTTAGCAAGTCAGAAAAAACTCCAGAGCAATTTTTAAAACAATGTTTGCCTTTCAGGTGGACCGACAGTATCAGAATTATGACGATGGCACTACTGTGGCATTAAAACTTTACGTGACAGTGTTTTGTTTCTTTTTTTTTCTCCAGTATTTTAAACTCAGAAGGGTTCAACTGTTTCAATAAAAGATAAAAGATTGTACCTTACATGCAACCACTACATCACCAGCTATTTAAAACAACAGCAGTGCTGAGGAACTTTTATGCTATTATTTGAATGTACTGCGATCACTATTATTTAAGAAAAGAGACGTTTTGTAAATTTATTTTTGCAAACATGTAGAAACTGCATGGAACGGCTGTCTTATGATTTGTACAAGATTCAGCCAAACTAAGTTAAAATGACACATTATGTATTTAAAAAAGGGCAATATGGTGTATTTAATCTTGAAAATATTTAAAAAACCTTCACTCAAACAGCGCATACAGCCAACGGAAAGCTTACCACGATGTAATGTGTGTGCTTTACATTCCTACAAGTGTTCAGTGTGTTAAATTAACAGTGTGTGTTGCTTCACATGCATTGTGGTGTACACAGCAGACATAAGTCGTATTACCTCTAGAAACTAACACGTCAGAGAAGCGCTCTGTGTATCGTAGCTGCTGAAGTGTGTAACGCAGGTGTTTTTGTCAGAGTTGTGTGTACGTGTGTCAACTTACAAAAAATCTAATAAAAGAAGGGAAGATGGATAGCAAAACTCTGACTAGTGCCTTTTAATCGGGGGCTTTAAAAGTGTTCTCTGCTGAGCTTAGCGGATGTTTTTCAGTGACGCATTTTCCTCTTTAAATGGAAACGTTTACGCAACAGCTTGTAAAATGTTTGCCAATATACCTCTAATAAACAGACCGAACAGTGACTTTTCTCCTGCATCCTTCTTCTTTTGAGCCCAAACGTGTTTCTCTCGGCTCGTGTTTAACCTGGCCAGGAGCTTTAAAGCCATTGTTTTATCCCAAGTTGCCACTCAAAAGCTGCTATCTGGTTTGCTTCTGAATGGAGACAAAAAAGAAATAGAAGAATACACTGATGCCACAAAAAATCCATATTCTTCCACACCTTCACATTCCTGAGTTTGAAATGCAAATATTGCCTTCCTAAAGTCAGTCCCATTCAATATCCTTACTCAATATCCTCTGATAGGATTACTAACGGTAAGTAAAGTTATAGGGTAGTATAATTTTATACAACCAGATTACTGTAGAATATTTTTGAAAGTTATTGAACAATAGATACGATTTCTAACCAAGTATAGATTATTAGAGTATTTTAGAATATTTTATATTTGAGGATCTGCTTCAGTGTCATCTTCCTCCTCATCATCTGTGATTGCGAGATAGGCTGGCACAATAACTGTCCCTCTCTTTTTTCATGGAAATCTTAGTTTAAAACTGCAAAATATGCTTAATATTATAATTGTTATGATTACTGTAACCATGATTATGAAGATTATGTCTAAAAAACAACGAATTTTACCTAAAAATATACTTAATTTCTTTTGTTCAGGGCGCATGATCAAATATGGCAGTTTTGATTTTCATGCTATCATTTCACCAACTTCACATTTACAACACATATATCCTTATTTAGCACAGCTAGTCGACCTTTTCATGTGAGAGGTTCATGAACCTAGCATTGTTAGTTTTAGAGATCTGATCACAAACACGAGGCGAGACCGAGCTGCAGGAAGGCAGTTTTTTGGTTCTCCAGACACCCGTTGATTGATTGAACAGCACCGTTAAGCTCGAACTGTGACTAGCTTGATCTCTGATGATTGGCTGGATGATATTCCATAATTCTAAGAGTCAGTGAAAAGGTGCACTGAAATCATTTATGTCAAAAGTGGAAGTGTCTAAATATAGACACTGGCCCTATGAAGGGCTAAAGCTAGATGAGAGGATTAAAAAACATTACAAGAAGCTAATCTTTCATTACAATTTGCTCTTTTGCTGCTGAAATAATCTGACAGTCTCCATACAAAGGAAACCTATAAAGAGCAACCAAAAGAATTACAGATATCTAATCAGGAAGATAAAAAAATATACTAAAACAAGATGTCCATTTAGCCATAGACTTTATAGAGCTGGTTTAAACAGATTAAGCTCTATATAGACACAGAGAAAACAGTTGCATATCTTGCAGCAATGTTTTGAGAATTCAGCTGCACCACAAAATAAGAAAATTATAAATAACAAAACCTTAAATTGTCCTCTTGCACGGGTGACATGTTTTAAAGGAAGTAGGCGTGTACAAGAAGAATTTAATTCCAAAATAAATCCCAGTTACTTTATAGGCGATCACAAAACGCAGCAATAATGTTGAGTCATAAACTACGGTACATGTACTGCTCTAGTTTTCACATGACAGCTAATTTGGTTAGCTTTTAGCTCTTTTATAGTGTGTTTATAACAAGCGTCAGAAGTGTGACTGAGCATTTCCATGTTGTTTCGTTGTGTGTGTATGTGTGTGTGTACATGTAGACTCATCATGGTCAGAGAATGAGCTCGCATAGTAAATGATTAGATTTTTGCAGCAGCTATAGTCACACAAAAAAACCAGATCGCTGTAGCTGCACTGCTCTCAGCAGCTCCAGTAATAGTTTATGTAAAGGCACAACGAAAATAAAACAGAACGTATTTTAACCTACAAATTCACAAGAAACAGTCAATAGCATTAATGAAATCTTGTTTCCTCTTTAAAGAACAGCAAAAGTTCTAGTTTTAAACAGTTTTAGTGATGCTGTTGGTTTGTCTAGACATTGGTAATGAATGCAATTTTATATCAGATTTTGATGGATTGATGTTTAGAATTTTTTCAGATTATGAAATATGTTTTGTTCTGGTCCTCAGATTCTGAATCTTTTAGCCCAACAACTGGTTACACAAATTGCTGGGAAGCTTGGAATGTTTGTTAAGTTAAAAGGAGTCAAAAATTAAGACACAAAAAAGATAAATTGGTGTTTGTGAGGAACCGCAAATAAAGTTGAGCTGCTTTCAAGACACTTGAGGAATATTTTCATTCAAAAATGTCTAAATGTGTTTTGTGTGCAGTTAGAATTCAGGGGTTGGGAACCCTGGTCTTGGAAAGCAGCTATCCAGCACGCTTCAACACAGTTGATTCACCTTTTCAGCAGCTCATCAAGCTCTGCAGAAGTCTGTTAATCACCTGCTGATTAAAATTAGGTGTGTTGAAACAGGGAAACCTCTAAAGCATGCTGGATAGCTGCTTTGAAGGACCAGGGTTCCCTTACCCTTGTTTTAGTGTTTTATTGGCAAAAAGAGTCTTTTGGCTATTTATTTATACTTTTTTTTTCTTTAAATTTGAATTACTTTGACTTAATGAATTTTTTTGTATTTAGTTATAAAACCCCATTATTGCTGCAGTATTTTGCATTTTCACCTTTAATTTATTTCAGAGTTTACCATAAGCAGGACAGTAGACCCAAGCAGAGACGATGTGGTGAAGCACCCAGATGTTTTTACATCTCTGCAGAATGTTCAGCCTTCACATATCAGCTGTTGTGCTTTTGTCCTGAGCCTCCTTCCCCTGAACATTTCACCTTGCAACTAGTGAGAGAGAAAGAAGAAAGACAGAAGAAACTGAATCGGCAGGTCATGCCCATCATAAGCTGAGTCATGTGACATTAGGTGCATGCCCTTTTTGTGCAACACAGTTTTGAAAGAAAACAGTTTGGGTTAGAGCCAGCATCTCAGACTCTGTAACACATCAATGTTCATTCACCGGTTAAGTAACAGCCACACACCCTTTTTTGATGACTCCTGCTTATGTTTTCTCCTGTACTCATTCTGCTTACACTGCCTTATCAACTCATCTTTATACCCTCTCTAAATCACAGATAAATACACCTCTTCTTTATCTAATCCTGTTTGTCAATCACCTCCTTATCTATAACTCTTTCTGCTTGCCAAACATCTTTCTGCCTGACATATCAACTCCCACGTGAAATATACAATGCACCATTTCTCGGACCTAAAAGTGACCCACATCACAGCTGAGCTTCAGACGGCAGGATTTAGAGTCTTATTTCTTGATAATCGCCTCGAATTGGAAAACAGAAACGCAACTCTACCACTGACTTACAACATGGATGTGACATTTCCATAAAAACTTTAAGTCTGGAGGATCTTCTGCCGTGTGGTAAAGTTGCTAATGCTAACAGTTAGCTTAAACTAGCTGGGACGTCTTCTGCTGATTCTTAGATGTTAAAACAACAACAATCTTCCAAGTTCAAGGATGCTAATTCACAACGTGGCGTAGGTCCGTGAGGATTTTCAAATCCTCGAGTTTCACCATCTATTTTCCATCAGAAACTTGTGCAGGAGATAGGTGTAGGAGACTTTTTTCATGTTCAGCTTGCATGAAAAACTCTGAGTGCCTGATAATAATCAGAAAAAACATGAAAATGACTTTTCAGTCAGCCACACCTTTAAGATTACAAACTAATAATTTTTGACAAACTTATGATTGCTGATAAAAGCTCCACAGAACACAATTATAAAATAAGCACTTTTCTTTAGGCATGTTTTTATATTCCTCATTAGTTCTAGAAGTTAGTAGAACTATGGCCTGTAAAAAAATGGCCTGTATTTGATATAGCGCCTTCTAGAGTCCTGGAACCCCCCAAGGCGCTTTACAACACAATCAGTCATTCACCCATTCACACACACATTCACACACTGGTGGGGATGAGCTACAATGTAGCCACAGCTGCCCTGGGGCGCACTGACAGAGGCGAGGCTGCCGAGCACTGGCGCCACCAGTCCCTCCGACCACCACCAGCAGGCAACGTGGGTTAAGTGTCTTGCCCAAGGACACAACGACAGCGACAGACTGAGCGGGACTCGAACCTGCAACCTTCCGATTACGGGGCGAGCACTTAACTCCTGTGCCACCATCGCCCCCTAGCAGTAGTAGAAACTTTGGTTAAATATCTGCTCAATATTTGTATGATCTTAAAAAAAATATTCCTAATACAGATTTGTAGCGTTTACAATCTACATACTAGGATTTAACGCTGTTTGTTATCAGCTTTGTTAGATCCTGAGAAAGATCAACAAATTAGCATATGAAGCTGATATCATGTATAAATATCCAGGATATTTATACAATCGATAGAAGCTCATACACCAACTTTCTTGGTCTATATTTAATCCAAAGATTAATATTTAATTTAAGAAATTTAATTAATAGCAAAGTTTATTTATTAAACACAAGACTTAATGGAATCTTTGCTTGATTAATAACCAAATATAGACCATTCTGTGTTTCATTTCAAAGAAGAGTCAGGTTTAAAAAGTTAAGAATGTATTACTAACAATTTAAAAATGACAATTTAAACAGCTTTGATATTAAAACTTGGTATTAAAAGCAACCTGTGTCTGGGTGAAAACTAAATTGAAATGTGTGTGTTTGGATGCGTGGATGGAATCTCAGAAGGTTCCTATTAGAGAGAGAAACACGTTCTGAGTGAAAGAGTTGTTTTGCAGCTCACTAAGTTATTTATTAAAGGGAACAGCATACAGACGCCATCTGTCGCAAGTGTCTACCTCACCCAGTCAGGAGACCCCCTGATGTAAGGTGGAGATGATGAACCCCCAAGCACGAGGTTGGTAGAAGGACCTTGGTGCAACCAAATCGGTCCTGAGATGTCTCCGGGTCGCAACGACTGGTGAAACTGGTTGTGTCTCAAAAATCAATAACTCTGAAAGAGTTTGCGTCAGCTGGTGCAGGTGGCGTTTATTCGGAGCGATTCTATCGGCGTGACAGAACAGCTTAGGTGGAGGCTTCGGGCGATCGACCCTTATCCTCTGGGAACTCTCGTGCCACGGAGAGCTTTTGGTT